TTTTCGACCTCTCCAGGCCCCGCTTTACCCATCAGTAAAATCAGTATTTCTTACTGTTGTCAGTATTTTAAGATAAGATTTTTCTCGGCAAAATATTTGGAGATACTTCAGTGGGTTACTCTTTAAAAGTGCAGGGTATTAATGCATATGAAAAGAGGTAAGCTTATTAGGTGCTACAGCACTGGGATAGCATGTCCCTGGTGCCGCCTGTAATTCTGTAATGAACCAGAACGCTAGTGGATCCTCCGTGACTTCACGGGCTGCATCGCAGAACCTCTCTCTGAACGCGTTTCCTCTGCACCCAAAGCTGCGCAGAGGAGAAAGCAGAAGTCGCCTCTTGGCCCTCCGCCTCTGCTGCGGGCTCAGGCTGGCTCGGGCGCACGCCTGCTCCGGGGCGTTTGGCTGTGCAGCCTCGGCACTCAGTGCCGGCGTCCTCCCTCCCGCAGCTGGGGAGCTGCCGGTCCTCGGGATGGCCAGGGGCTTCGCCCAGCTTTCCCGGCAAACAGACGTGAAGCTGCGGAGTTTTGTGTGTAGGAAGGGTGGAAGTTTCTGAAAGAGGTGGCTTTTTTTCCTGGTATTTTCCTGCTCCTAATTAGAAACCACAGTTTATCTTTACAAGACAGAAGGCTCTTAAATGTATTCTGCTGGGTTCTCCAGAATACCCTGCTCGCCCACCTAATGGCTGCTGTCCCCCTGCGCCCAGAAGCCTGCGCCTTCCCCTTCCCCCGGGAGGATGCCTGCCTCATCTGCGTCACTGTTGCAGGGGAGCGTGCTGGAGCTTCCTCCCCTGCCAGGCAGATGTCCGTTATAGTGAAATGTAAAAAAAAGGAAAGGGGGGGGAATAATAAAGGCAGAGGAGTGTAATGTTACGGCTTGATTTGACAGGACCTCCTGCTGTTGCAGCTGCCAGTGCCAGCCATGGAATAGATTAATCTGTATTCCAACACGCCGCAGCTGAAGTCAAGATCGATCTAATTAGGGTGTTTTAAACACTGCTTGCATTCTGAAGTCTTCGTGCCTGTCTGGAGAGGGAAGGGCTCCCGAGAGCTCGAGGTGATCCTGGTCTGCGCAGGACTCTGGTGCAGCTGGGTGAGCAGACGCGATGTGACCTGCCGAGGACCGGGGGTGCGGCTGGCATGGCACAGCAGCATCGGTGATGGGCGCGTGCCGGTGAACCAGCCGATGGGGCAGAAAACAGGGTTATCTGCTCATCAGAAAGTAGCCTCTCTCTTCCCTTATCCGTGAATATGTGAGATTTTGGGATGTTTATATGAAAAAAAAGTTGTTCTCGATGGATACTAGCTGCCAGCTGATAACTGTTATTCCTATAAAGGAATCTTTGGCGGTGCTGAGCATGGCTCCTTGTGGTGTTTGCTTTCAAAGGAAATACAGTTAGTCCTTCTTAGAAATGGGGGCTAGGCAGCAGCTTCTGCCTCTGGCCTTGTCTGTTGTCCTCCTTGAAAGTAACTCTTCTTGTGCCGGTGCTATGGGCTTTGGCTGAGCATTGGCACGGTTATTTAGAAGTTCCCAAAATATTCAGAGGCAGGCAGGCTGCCCGAGGCATCGCCCGAGGGCCATGTGCAGCTTGTGGCCTCTGTCAGCCGAGATCAAAGCTGGGCAGCTGCAGGTTTGCCTTTCTGAGGACTTGGAATAGCACCAGCTACTAATCGTTTTCCAAAGAAGATCCAACCCAGAGCAAGTATTTTGATTATGGGCTTCTAAAATTTTGCACATGTGAGGAATATATTGGTGCAGTCCGTGGGAAAATGGTGAGACCCCCACGTCTGCAGAAACCTTCGCTCCCAGGTTAACACCGCTCACTTCTGATGGCTTGTGCAAATGCTTTAATTCATTGAATAACGGATTGAGCCGCTGATCCCATCGCACTCCTCTTACCCCAAGGTTTGTCCTGATTTTGGCTGGTGTCCTTGCACGTGGATGTTCATGTCTATTGGGCCAGGAGTTGCAATGTGGCATAACTGTGATTTTTTTTTTTTTTTTTTTCAGGGGGAGTATGAAACACACTAGTGCATTTTTTTCAGGAAGCTGATTTAAAAAAAAAGGTTTAGATCAGAAATATTTCTGTACAATTTTTTTTTTTAACATTTTGACCAGGCAACTAAATATTTCCTGGATTTTCTGGAGCAATATGTTGAAAGAATAACCTTATTCTTAAAAAAACTGTGTCAGCTTCTTTAGAATTCTCAGTAGTTTTAAAGATTTTATTGATAAAATGGATAAAAATCTGCATATGATCACCAAAGCAAAAATGATGGCTAAAATACATGTCCTAGTAAAGGAGTATTGAAAAAAAGCAATGAAGTTATATCATTGGTGAGACTATTACTACTAAAATACTGTGTCAACACTTCTAAGCACTTCCAAAAAAAGAAGGTTTGGGAAGCACAGTGTGAAATACGGAATGCTGGCTTCTTTCTAAAACGGCAGAGCATCTGTTGGGATGTACTCTGAAAAAAAAAAAAAGTCTTCATTTTGTTGTACTCTTTTTTCTCCTTAAGAAAATAGGATCTTGCAAGGACTCTGGAGGCTTTTACGATATTTTTAATGTAGACACTTAATTTGGTGTCGCTTTTTGTGGAATAACTGTTTCTCGGCAGCGCGAGCGTGCACCGACGTACCCAGAGCCATCCTTCACCCCCACGTTACCCTGTCGCAGTGACGGAGCAGCCGCGCGGTGCTGGCCACCCGATAAACCTGTTATCTCCGCGGCTCCTCCTGCCAGCAGCTCTCCAATCTCTTTGGTACATGAAAAATTGACACCACCTCAGGCAGAAATCTGTTTCTAAGGAAGCTACATTTATAAGCAGCTAATGGAATGGGGGGTGTGCGTGCGTGTGTACAGCCTCTTCTGTTTGCTGCCCTCGTGTAGCATGCAGATAATCTGTGCTACGGAGAGGGCAGACGCGGCTTGGAGAGGCAGCCTCTGTGCCTTCACCTTGCTGTGAGAGCGTAAGCTGGCAGCGCAGGAGCTCCCTGCAAACGCGTCGGTGTCGCTTGTTCTTTGTGCGCTGGTGCAATCGATCAAGGCTTCTTGTGGCTCCGGGCTAGGCAGCGCCGTGGAAATGCGTGTTAAAATGGTTTGATGGCAGTAAGATGATGATCCCTTTCCTCTGCACGTTGCATTTTCCTCTCTGAAAATAACAAATCTTGACACCCCTTCTCCTCTCCCCACCACTGTGGGTGAGGAAATGTTTATGGCCATTATTTTTCATCAGTCTTAATCAGCAAGATTAAAGTGAGGACATCTTGGAGAAGTTACAGTTTTGCATGCATTGAGATGTCTAAAACATAAGGTCTGTGCTTAATGCAGACCTGCAGGCGGGAAGCAATACCAAATGATTTGGCAAGGGAGAGAATCTCGTGCCTCTCTCATTTGCTTTGTGCCTTTGTGCTTGGTTTTATTTCCCCATATTAAAACCATATACTCTTTGATATTGCCAACGTCGTTTCTCGTGTTGGCATGCATTTTGCAAATGATTTGCCTGTCTGCATCCCCTGCGATACTGGGGTGCGGCAGTGCGGTGTGCGGCCGCTCTGCTTCCCTTTCACAAGAGGAGGAAGGCGGCCGCCTTCCCTGGGCCCCTTCCCTCGCCTCGGACTGGCTCCTGGCGTGCGTCCGTTCCTCCACCCTGGAAAGTGTTCGCGGGCAAAATGAGAAAGAGCCAGAGCATGAGAGTTATAACAAGAGCTTGACTCAAAATGTTCCAAACCCAGTATGATTTTATATGTGTATTGTATATAAATTGCACATAAAACTGATGAATCCTTCTGAAGAAACAAGGACACAGAGAAGCACTTGCTCTTGTACTTCACTGAGGTCTGGTGCAGCCAGATATTAGTGGTTAAAGAAGCGTAAGACACCCTACGTGAAAAAGCGTGCTTTTGGAAAAGATCACGTTGCTGTCTGTCCCTCGAGGGGCAAAGAGCTCGAGGCCCTGTTCCGGAGCGCTGTGCTTTTGATCGTCGCTTGAAGCTGGCGCCTTGCAGCAGCAGGCTGCTGTGGGAGCACGCCGCGTTGGTGCTCAGGAGGAGCTTCTGAAAGGTCTGCGAGGCCCAGAGGCAGCGATGCTCCCCTGCCGAGGGACGCCTGTGTTCCTGCAGAAGGAGCTCCTCAGAGCTCAGTCCTGCTCCTCCGGAGGAGACCAGCACCGCTGGGGTTTGGGGCACTGGGTTCGGCACCTTTCAGGGCGAAGCTGTGGTTGGACATTAGCACAGATGTTGTCTCTTGTGCGCTTGCCACGTTGGCATTTTACTTGGCGCCAAGGTTTGTGCTGTAAAATACGCTCCCCAAATGCGACTGAGAAGACCGCAGAACATGTTTGTTTGGTCATTTCTGATTTCTTGTGGCCCATTCATATTCAGTCCCTGGGATTTTCTATAAGTGGTTTGTTTGAGGATTTTTTCCTCTAGCTAATACCAGTTAAGTCTCTGCAGGAGCTGCATGCTGGCACAGTTATTCCTTTCTCAAGCTGTCCTGTTTCAGTAACCGTCCCCCCCTTGGTCGCCTAAGGGTCATTTGAGTGACAGGGCCGGCTCTGGCTGCTTTGGGGCCAGGATTCCTTCTAGCCCCCAGGGAGGAGGCAACGTGCTGTGCCTTTAGCTGTGATGGAGGGTGCCAAAAGGAGTGCGTGCTGCCAGCCTGGGGAGGTAAACCGGCGCAGGACATGCTTTACGTAAGGTGCTTTTTTCAGGTCGCTGGGAAAAAGCAGGATCAGTGTCAGCAGGAGCAGTGCAGCCGAGCCAGAGGAGACCTCGCTAGCTGGGCTGTGATGGGTGAGGAGCTGCCTGTGCTCCCTGCAAACACGGCTCGCTGCTCTCGCCACCGCTCTGCCTCCGCTCACCGGTGATGGGAAGGAACCGGGGTTCCGCTTATCAGCGGCTACACGCTGGAGTGCTAGTAGTAAATTTAATGGCATGTTACAGAGAAAATAAGCTCCTGTTCCTGATCTCAGCATGCAATTTTCATTTTGTATCTCCAGAACATGTCTGTTCCATCCTGGCCTCCCTTCTGCGAAACCTGAGAGGGCAGCAGAGGACACGGTTACTGAATAAATTCACAGAGAATGACAGTGAGAAGGTGAGTGCTGAATATGTGTCTGCAGTCCCTGGGGTACCAGGCTGGGAGGATACCTGATAATGGCAGGGTGCCTGTGCACACTCGCTAAGTTACTGAACAGCTGCTATTGTACCTGCCTGTAGAGACGCGTACTCTCGCAGGCCACCGATCCCTCATTCATGTTGTTACCTACAGCCTGGAGAACTGGAAATGCCTTTAGTGCTTGGCCTCCCGCATCACGTGTGCTCTCGTTTTCTGGTGCCCTTGCACGTGGTGATAGCGGTTCTCAGTCCTGGGTTGTGTCTCTCTGCTGGAGCCTGATCGTGTAGCGTGTTGCACGGTATTATGTTGTGCTGGCTCTGTGAGACCGGGGCGGCCTGGAAGGGGGCCGCTCTTTTCTAGTGAAGCTCGTTTGCAGAGAGTTTAGGAATTGCTGTAGTACACATTTAATGTTCCCCATTCCTCTCCTAGAATGTGTCACTTTAGGGGTGTTTACTCTAGGAAATTCTTTCCAAAATATTTACATGGTGGTGGATAGATCAAACAGCTGTGAAACAGAAACAGTAGCTTTTGCAAACCACTAATTCTCAAGGGATTTGTAAATTCCGCCACTGGGGAAATACTGGTTCCTTAGTATTCCTCATTAGTGTGTTTTGAAGGTGTTTTTCATAACCTGTTCTACCAATTGCAGAAGATTTCCCATTACTAGATAGGCTCAGTTGCCTGATACAGTTCAGAGGAGAGCCAGAGAGCCGTAACATGTCTGATACACTTATGTAGCTTGGCTGCGCACAGCGTAGACAGAAAGGTGCATTGAAGAAACCAGGAGAGCTGGAGAGCCACAGCACAGGAGAGCGAGCGAGCTAGGGACATGCGTCTGTGTGCCGCCTTTTAGCTGGAGCTGACGAGACCATATTGTGATATGGGATTACATTCAAATGCCCGCAGACTCAGTGTGCTCATCCGACCAACGCTTGTACCGTCCTTCTGTACCTTCTGTAATGTATTCCTGCCTGTGAGTGACAGAATTGCCTGTTACCTTGTGAAGACTGGACCTGGGAGGAAAACAACATAGCATGAAGGATTAAAGATGATTGCATTGTTCTTTTTTCTTGCTTAGGTCTCTCTCTTCTGCCCTTGCAGGTTGATAGGCTGATGGAACTGTATTTTAAGTACCTGGATGCAATGCAGGCAGCTGATAAGAAGATTGACGGAGAGAAACATGTATGTATTGTTTAAGTTTTGCCAGCTCATGTCTGCAATACCTCTGTACAGGCATGTCGTCTGCACAGACCTCCTGGCTCAGCCAGGTTGCTCTTCTGAGCCGTGCCCTCATACCTGTGCTGTTACCGCTTAATTCTTGTTGTCCTGCCCTCCAGTTTCCAGTTAACCTCAGATAAAATGGGCTGAGAACTTCTCTATAGCAAGTGCTTCTGGCCTTTTCTTAGAGTGAATTTTACTAGGAGGGCCTAAGTCCGTGCTTCAATTTGCCTTCACTTTTACTTGGCTGAGATCTTGCTTGGTTCAGC